TACTTATTTAACAACGCTCTCTGTGCTGATGTGTTTATGTAAATGAGAGGCCGTTAATGAATCGTGGATGGGAAACCAGCGAGGAAGCAGCTTGGTTTATTCTGTAGCATTATACAAGTATTAGTCTTGCCGCATTGTGAGTAAAGACGGCGGGAGCGTTATACCATTACCTCGAGGAACGTCAGTAAGACAACAGAATTATATTTTTGAAGATGTTCAGAGTCTGCGTTCTGTCATTGTGCCCATAATCTTTTACATTGCTCTGTGCTACCTAATGGCCTAAAGGTTAAAATATACAAAACTATAATTTAACCTGTTGCTCACCTGGGTGTGGAACTTGATTTCTGTCTATGGAAGAAAAATAGACAGGGCGTCTGAAAAAGTGCTGAGGAAGAACTTGGAAAATTACGTAATTGAGAGCTTTATAATTTGTACTTTATACACAGTATTATTTGAGTGATCTATCAGGAAAGACATCCAACGCAGATCGGACACAGGGAAACGAGTATAAAATGTTAGCCAAAAGACTTCACGTCATTTTAGAAGGTTCAGGTATGGATAAAAGTTAGGTAAAAAGGTGTCTGTGCCAACATCGTGTAATGAAGGCGTATTATAAATTGTAAGTGAAACTCCATACATTCTTAACCTCGACGTTTAATAAAGGCGATTGGTTAGCTTAACCGTTTCGGCCGCTTAACCCCCTGGGAAAAAAGCCCTCAGTACCATAGCATAGCAGACTGAAGACCTACTAGCTTCTGAGGAGAAACTGTGCTAATTGGGGTTAACATAATTGGTTTATGAGACTTGATGAATCAGTATATCTTGAAATGCAGATTTCTTATCGGCTTCACAATTGTGAACACATCTGTGAAAGTGCTGGTGGCAAAGATAAGACTGTCTCTCTGCCGATCATGTCGTGAAGGCGTGTGGGAAAAATAAAAAATGCATGCCTAGCCTGGGCACTAGACAGGGACGAGTTGTAAACTTCGCGCAACCACGGAGCGGATTGGCTGGGCGGACCCTAAACCTGGTCTGAACAGAGGGTTGTACTGGTGGTATTAAAACCAAACGATCAACCATGAACTCAACGGGGAGCGGCCTGATTATTGTTACATTATATTTATTCCTCTGCGTCGTGCCACTTCGCTCTCTGTTTGAGTGAAAAGTATAGTCGATAAAGATAAAAAGAAAAGATGTTTACTTAGATTGAATGTACTTTTTTTCTTGAATGAAGAAGAGTATTGAAAATGGAGCGACCGTAAAGATAAACGGAAATGCACTAGAGTCTACAGGATGTGAGGATGTGCGTTGAAAATGACCTTTATGAATGTCATGTAGCCTAGTCCTGGGTGTTCCAATTTTTTCATTCCTCTGGTGAAGAATAGATTCCCGTTGGACCCAAGGGTCAAGAAACCCCTTGTGGAACTATTTTTTTAAACTTATAACCAGGTATCGTTACCTTTAACAATATTATTACGCCGTCTCCTTTACAGGAGTTTGGCGACATTATGAACAGGATCCTTCCATCCTTTTCTCGGACTGGGACCTGTTCATATATGTTTTTTAGGCAGGTGATACAGAAGTGGTTTGCCATTGCCTTCTTCTGTGTGTATGGAGTATGGAGTAATTGTTGGGATGCCACGGAGAAACCGGGGAAGCCCCCGGAGGAAAACTCCGTGTTGCCGAGACCACGGCCTTCCCAACACAAGTTATAAATTCGGGAACCCGGGACCCTAGGATTAACAGTCCAGCGTTCTAACCGCTAGACCACCAGAATTACAAATTACCGTAATATCCGCTCATATATAAATTCTGTTAAAGTGTTCACAAATTAGTGTAGAGTTATAGTTGATCTTAAATTTGTTAATCCAACGTATTGTATTAATATCTTACACGGTTTTTATCCGAAAAACATAAATTTTACGGAAGGGTTTTTACTTAAAGCAGCGGACGAGGTAAGAATCACTGTTCTTTCTCGTGTCTTTCGTAAATAAGGAAATACATGAAATTGCAGCAAAAAGTAAAAAAAAAGTAATTTTGCATTCCTGGGTACAAGTAATCTCGGACCACACGTGGCCTGCGGATCGCTAATTTAG